GCCTGAAACACCATTCTTATGGCTACATATTTCCAAGGTTGTATTTCAAGCTAACTTTGAAATAATTATCCTTACAAAATTAGTCACTCAATAAGAAACAATAAAACAAACTAAACTTCTAAAAACAGATTACTGAAGGTTATTTAGTTTGGGGCTCTACTAATAAAAGGCAAAGAAGTGACATAATCTTTTCCCATATACTGGGTAGATTAAATATTACCCACTAAGCTTTATTTAGCTGTAACAATCTTATGAGTTAATTAACAAAGAGCAACATTTTCAACCAGGTCATAAACTCAGGCCAGTTTTCCAGAGGAACTACTGAGTTATTAAAGAGAATGCAATGGAAGACACTGGCTCATACACAAAGCAGTCAAGGCCACTACCCAAGCCTCACCTGAGACTTCCTCTATAAGGGAAGGTGTTACAGGTAAGAGAAACATAACAAGACACCCAATGACGCAGCCAACTCTTTCAGCACAGAAGTGCAAATGCCATACTTTGTGATTTTCTGCTAAACGTATCACTTTATTGGCAAAATCAATATTAAAATAGATACGTAACTATTCACCTGAGATAATGCAAGATTAAAAATAAATTCCAAATTTCCTTAATGATAATAAAAACTTTGTAAGACATATTTCATCTCAAAGCAAGCTGCTAAAAAATTTTTCTTTGAAAATTAGGAGCTTAGAAGATAAGCTTTAGACATATAGCTGTGTTAAACTAACATTTGAGTACTAAAACCGTAACTAGCTTAAAGAGATAGTTCTCCTTTCACTGGTAATTGATTTAACAGACTCAAAAAATACACTCTCCCTCATACTACAGTTCAAATTAAAATGGGGGCGAGTAGCATTCATTACCTTGAATGCCTTATTTGCTATTCCCTTCTCTTACTATTTCTTTACACTATTCTTTTTTCTTTTCTTTTCTTTTTTTTTAGACAGAGTCTCACTTTGTTGCCCGGACTAGAGTGCTGAGACATCAGCGTAGCTCACAGCAACCTCAGACTCCTGGGCTCAAGCGATCCTCTTGCCTCAGCCTCCCGAGTAGCTGGGACTACAGGTACTCACCACCATGCCCAGCTAATTTTTTCTATTTTTAGTAGAAACAGGGTCTCACTCTTGCTCAGGCTGGTCTCGGACTCCTGACCTCAAGTGATCCTCCCATCTCGGCCTTCCAGAATGGTAGGATTACAGGTGTCAGCCACGGCACCCAGCTCATATTTCGTAACACTATTCTTACAAGAAAACTTTTAAAATGTGGGAGAGATTTAAAATAGTTGTGGTATATGTTTCTGCCAAGTTTACTCATATTTCCTGTGAATCAATTATAATTCATGAATGTTTAGAAAATTCTTAGAAGTTTCAAAACTCACTATAAATTCCATTGCTAAAGTTGACTAAAGCTAGTCTACTTTATTAATTTGCTGTGTCTAATTAGTTTATAATCTACATATAATTTCAAAATAGATTCAATAGAATCATCTGTATTGAAATCTTTAAAAGCTCATCTACTTTATTTGATCTTTCTGAAATAAAATGCAAATTTTAACAGAAT